GCGCGCCTCACGGCCCCGGCCCCGCTGAGGAGAGGCTGTGAGGCGCCCTCATGGCCCTCCAGCGTGTGGGCCCCGGTTCAGTCAAGGCCAGGTGAGGAGAGGCTGTGAGGCTCGCTGCATTAAATTATGTTGGAAAAATATCCTTATTGTTTCAAAAAGTAAAAAAAAAATGTTGAGATTACAAATAGTGGAATATGCTTAAAATGCTCTTTTTGTTTTTATTGCAGAATGCAACTCTTTAGATGGCTGAAAGTAACACACACTGGTGCAGCTGCCTTGTAAATCACAAGAAATGCCAAAGCATAGTCTCCTAAATAGCAGCTATGCATTTGCTTATTACTTCCATTCATAATAAGAGACTACTAATGCCCAAAATAAAACACCACAGGATCATTTAAAATTAAAGGCCCATACATTGATCAAAACCTCCTGTTTTTTTGTATCACTGTAGTATCTCACCTGTCCCCGCTCCTGGTGTGATGTAGGCTATGCACTAATACTGTGTTGTAGCATATGGCCATTTCATTTCTGAGACATTTTACTGTGGGATTGCTGTTTCAAAATGTACTGGGTGTTGGCTTTACTGTCTGTGCTGCATAAACTACACTACAAAACAAAATATTGTCAAATTCGAATGCAACCCATGTTTTGTGTTTGCTTTCATGATATAGTATCACTAATTAGAAACTTGCACCTTATGTAAGAGCCTTCATGAGAGAAAATGCAAGAATAAGACGCTGTTAAAGTTATGAGTATATTGTGAATAGCCTACTGTATGTGAGCTGTCTGATGAATAAATGGCTGTGGGACATTTTCGAAGGATGACCATAAAGCAATGCATAACCTACAATATATATACTGCAAGATAGATAGAGAAATAAGTAAAACCTTTAATAAAAATCAAAAACCTATGTGCTATATACTATATACAGTTTTTTTTCTCATCTTTATTCCATTCAATGAACGTTACTAGGCTGCAGCTAATGGTGCGGTAAACTTGATTTCAACAAAGCTAGAAGAAGGAAAAAAAAGAGTGCTCTATTGTTGTTCCACACTCCAGCCCAGCAGGTGGCGATAATGCACCTTAACTTGGCTTCCAAACCGCCAATAAGTATTATAAGAATATGAAGAAGAAAAAGAAAATATTAGTGCAACTATGGCAAAAGACAAGGTCGGTCTTCAGCTTTCAATTCTGTGCTTTAACTAAGTTAGATAATTAACGTTACCTTATTGTAAAGATCCCTCTGTCATTCAACAATTATCGTTAGTTTCTAACTTTATCTTATGAATTAAACAGTATGTAGGCTAGTCTCACGTAGCGTTGTGGTGTTGGTTAGCTTAACTAGCTTATTTAGCATTCACGTAATTGTCACGTAATATAGCTAGATGGATAATTAGCCTGACTACTTAACGCATGATTTATTGGAATTGTTTTTAAAAGATTCACAGTGTTGCGATTACATCAGACATCAACAAGCTGTTAATCTAAACTGGTTCAAGAATGACTTAATGGCAAACTTCTAACCCAACGCTAAATTAATGACTTAACGTTACCAGGTAGCGTTGGGCTAACTTTGTAGCTAACAGTTGGTTGATCCGAGGTGTAGAAGTTTGTTACTGGGTTTTCAGACACTTGGCAAGGTTAGTCCTCAGTAAGGAAGTTGTTACTGGGTTTTCAGACACTTGGCAGACACTTTGAGAGGGGTTATCACCCACCCTACCAGCTCTGGTTGTGCATTACAGACTGAAGTGCACAGACAGTGAATTTACCTCACATTACGTTGGTGTTGAAGTGTAGTGCTTTGAAAACCTTGTTGGAAAATTTTAATGAATAAACGAGTTAATTTGGTTGTAGTCTGGAGTCGCCCAGTTTGATGGTGTTGTAGTTCTTAATGAACTAGAATACATAGTTTCGATGTACATCTTAGCATTTTGTTTGTTGGTACAGTGTTAAAGCCCAAATTAGAAACACCGTTTTACGTGGTAACATGTGCTTTTTGGAGATAACCTCGGTTTTCTAATCTGTTTATGTGTATGTGTGTGTAGAGCCCCCTAGGACAGCTCAAGGATTTGGCAGGCCTGAAGGACCAGTTGGAGGACATTCAGAAACGCGTGGAGGACGAGATACAGGCTGGGCTTCCTCCAGTAGGGTTCACACAGACACCATTATGTTCCTGCTCATGTTAATTTGTCTTGAGTTTTGCTCACAGACTAAGCAGTTGTTAAAGTTAAAACAAATGAAAACTGTTACTATGCTGATGGAGCTATATGTAAAACCACTAATCAGTCTACCAAGTACCTGATCTGATCTTGCCTGGCCTTTTTTTCCCCCTCCAGGGAGGCAGTCTGCTGGCTTCTCCTTTCCTGAAGGGGTTTCTGACCGGGTACATTGTTGCTAGGCTACGCTCTACAGCTCTGCTGGGTGTTGCTGTAGGAGCATGTACAGGAATCTATGCAGCACAAAGTTATGCTATTCCCAACATTGAAAACACCATCAAAGACTACATAAAAAAACTGAAAGGAGGACACAAATGAGAAGATGAGAGGAGTAAGAAGACTTGAAAGGAGGGAGCAAGGATGTCTGCATTAATAAGGGTGCCAACAGCTGCATATGGGAACAGATTTCACAAGTTTCACCAGTTATTAATTTGATCTAATTATTATTAATCAGTGAGTAAATAGGAAGATTCTAAAGTAGCAAAGCAACAAACAGTGAGTCTTTTCATTGTTATTTTTTCTGACTCATTTAAAGCAAGGTTCATCTGAATCCTTGGTACATGAGTACAGGGAACAGGTGAGTGAGATACATTTTGTAGTCGCCTGAGCATATTAACATGCATTGGGAAAATGTTATATTCCAGTTCAATGAAACAGAAGGCAACAATATTAGCTTCCTATGTGGTCAATAGCTGAAATTCAAACTGCTGCCATTAAGTACAACAAACCTTGTAGATAACAGAAGCACTGTGTAAAAGAGTTTGTTGTTTAAACAGCAAATGAGGTGTGATGTGTTTCTCTCTCTTGAATCTCTTTTAAAAAAGGAGGTTAAATAATTAGTACAGCTGGTCTGCACATACATAAGAGATTGGTTTGCCTTTTTCCCAAACCCCTGAAAAAGCTTATATTGTATTAATATTTCAGTTGTATTAAGTCAGTGAGTTTTAGAAATGTTGTCATCCTCTTTGGTGGCTTCTGCCCTCTAGTGGTCAGCAGCCGGTTATAGCAGCCTTCAAGTGCACCTTTTTGCTCAGGGGTTATAGTGCATGTAATAAAGGTCTCATCTCACATCACTGTGCGTGTATGAAAAACCTGTCAAACCCTTTATTGTTCGTTAATGTTCAGTGTTTGCAGGTGTCAGAGCAAAGTGGTGTCACCACGTGGTGAGGTTAGCAGTCAGTTTTTCACTTGGTAAAACTTTTTTTTTTTTTTTTATTTTTAAAAATTTCTCCCCCCCCCCCCCCCCATCTCTGTAGATGTTCATGAAGGATAACTTAAAATAGAGTTTTCAAAGTTTTGACATTTTTATAATTATAAAAATTGACCAAAAAATGACCAAATCTGTTCAAACATAAGCAAAATTACACCTGAAAATGTAACATCTCTCTACATGTTCCAACTCGCACTGATAAAATAAATGAAACTTCAATCTCCAACAGCTAGGGAACATGGTTAGCAGACAGCCAGACAAAAGCATTCACCAAAGCAAACTTTAAAGCTGTAGTTTTACACATATCAGGAAAAGTGTGCATTATAAAGTATTTTATGTAAAATATACACTAAGAGTGCCTGCTCTGACGTATTATCTCATGTCATGTGTGCATCAGCTTTTTCCTAATGGAATTTGGCAGCCTATTTCATATGCTGGAATTTTTTGCACTTTATAGATGTTAGGGATTTAAAGATGTTTGTTTCGCAGCAGTCAGTCAAGGAAATTTCAAAAAACCTGTCGAAGAAAGTCAGCGAAGCATTTTGCTTATTTAAAAAGTGGTGTTTGTGTAATGAGTAAGGGGATTTTTAAATGTAAAATCAATAAATGCCAATCTCTCTTCCATAAACAATGCTGTTGATGTAAGTCTGAAAACCTAACGCACATAAAAACATCTCGACATTATCGGACTTAAGACCATGTGAAACGTGCAGTAGAGACTATTTTTATTTTGCTGGTCAGATATTCACTGAGAAAGTACAGGTGTTTTTGTTCAGCTATGATTTAAACACTATATAGTGATTTGAGAAAAAACCATGGCAGCATCAGTTTCTCCAGGTACTATATTACTACCATTGAAATGAACACAGACCTGTAGCTCACACTAATCAATACAAGAGAAATACTTGAGTTCAGTGAGTTTGTGCTCATTTACTTTTTGACTGGAAAGTGTATGTTTGGTAACTGGAAACCAGAAACACCTTGTGCTTATTCACATTGTTATCTATTATGTGTTTTGTTCTTTAAGTATTCTCTTTAAGCACTCAATATGCTGCAGAGTGTAGAATATGATGGGTCAGCGGATTTTATTTCACTAACAGTATCATGGTTAATTTCCCTTCTGCACATCAGTGCTGAAATATTCACTTTAACAGTTTGAGATTCCATTGTGATGTTGTAAAACAAAACCACAGAAACTTGAGTTTAGTAGGTTTATTTGGGTTGTTCCAATAAATGAGCAAAATACAGTTCACAATTGTTTCAGTTCCTGAATGTGCCCAAATGTGTGATGGTACTTTTAATCACAGTTTTATCCTTTTATTTTTGGCCAAATGTTCACAGATCCATGCTATTTATCCAAAGCAATGAGAAACATAATGTAAATTGCAGTGAACAGAAAAAAACTGACTATAGTAGTATATTATATTAATAATTGCCTTCTGCACAACATCCTGTTATATTGCACTGTTGCTTCATTATGTTACCTTTGAGCCACTGTGGTCCTCAAACAACCCATAACTTATCCAAAGCGCTAAGGTTGGAGACTGGACTTGCTTGAGGTTCTTGAAGACATTTCGCTTCTCAAGTGAGAAGCATCTTCAGTTATGACTGACCAGTGAGGAGTTATGGGTATTTAACATCTGTGGAGACGTCTTCAAGAACCTCAACCGAGTCCAGGTGCCAACTTTAGGACTCTGGATGTACCATGACCTGGAGGACTGAGAATCTCTACAGGCATCCCATAACTTCTTACCAAAGTAACATGAGACAAAATTTGAGTAAAACAGCCATAAGCAGTAACACAGGACCCTTAAATTCCTTAACTTTCACTAGCCATTAAAAAACTGACAGATGGTATGTAATCAATAGGAAAGGTTACCTCTGTCCACATAGTAATAATGAAAGCAAGCATACAGGTGGTTATAATTAATTCATTTATGAGCAGTATATAAAACCCCAGTGTTACGAATAAGATTATTATAAGTTGACGAAGTTGCAAGATGTCATGATTTGAAGTTGAGCTGCTGCTGGACTCCGAAGGAGATTTCATCAGCTTCGTTTAGCAAAGAAACAGAAAACAGTTCATTCAGTGCAGAAGCAAAGTAATTTCCATTTAAACACTTTCCTTGCCAAAAGTATTAAAAAATGCACTTTCTGGAGAGGATTAATGGAAACTACAAGTCCTCACAGATATTTATATATGAGTACATTAACAGAGAATCAGAGAAACAGACCTCACCAGAGTATCAGGCATCATCTTCAGACAGAGCCAGCGTATTGCTCATGACGCCTACAAAGATATGTTCAACTGTTAGCAACACTGTCACTTAAATCAGGTACCAGAATAATCATTACCCTTTTTTTTTTAATTTTACATCTGGAACCACATCAGGATCAAAATACAGACAAGGACAGATAATACTGAAGCTACATATACTAGATTTGTTTCATGCAATTAATTCTAACATTTTTCATTTTTAAAAACTATCAAACATCTTGCAATACTAAACCTTTCTTTAACAAGAACATTGGGATCTGTACCAAAAAACTAATTTATTCTTCCTTGATCTTTGCCACATTTAATTGTCTATGTTCAACTCACTCTGTGGAGTATGAAGAGCACAACTGTAACAGAGCAGGTTTGGTACTAGTGAAACAGTTTCTGATTTATCCAGTCTGACTTTATGACCAGTTATCTTTTCTCACCAGCAGGGACAGCTGCTCTGCATCTGCCTGGTCCATTGCCCAGGGATCCAGGGATCTGATTCCCATTGACTGGGTCCGCACACCAGCACTGTCCCATGTAACACTGCTGGGCCCGATAGAGGCCGCGCTCGTCACACTTAGGGAGGAAACCTGGCACCTGCACAGGCTTCACACCAGCGGCCTCCATCTGGCATTTGGTGCCCTGCATAGGGACTGGGAGAGAAGAGGCATTAACTCATCTGTCTTGTAGAAATTTGGTAAAGAATACTGTCAGATAAAACAGTGTGAGCTGAAGACTATGGAACTTTAGTGAAGACAGGAAGGAATGTGATCGCAAGCATAAACTGTAACCACATGTCTTCTAATGTGTAAACATGAGTTTATTCATGCATACAAATTCAAACAGAAAATAGATTCAGGGCCTACCAGCTTTCTCTGGGGTTCCGGCGGACGCCTCCTACAATTGAATCAGTGAAGCAAAACAGAGAACTGAGAACAAGATGACGACCACAGCTTAAACTTGATCTTACAAGAATATGAGTGGATTCGTTCCACAAGAGGAACAAAGCAGAAAGCGTATATAACTGCTCCGCCATTGTAACTAGAGCCTGACTGATAAAATGACTGGGCTGCTACACTGACTTTTTTTTAGCTTATCAGTATGAGCATATTTGTAACAAAAAATTGCAGTGGAAAAACACCAAAGGTCCATCAGAGAGCACTAAACGTCTGTGTTTTCCTTTATAAAACAAACTGAATGTAAAAAAAGAATTAACCAATATTTCATTACAGGATTTTTGAAACTTAAAACATTGGGATTAAGAGTCTGGTATTGGACGATTTTACCTCATCCATAGGGTCAACCGTCAACTCAGGCAAGGCGTTCATGGGAAGGTGCATCCGCACCGGCACAGAAACTGCAGACAGAAAGAGAAACCGTTAGAAAAACAGAGATTAATGGAGAGAATACTGGAAATATAAAACTAAAATACAGTCTAGCTCTCTTTGACTCTAAAGTCAATGATATCTAGTCCTACAGAGCTTTTTTGACATAACTAAATGATTCCATCTTATTCACTTCAGTTGACTTTTAGCATTAGAAAAAGCAGGGAGAAGTACACTCACCAGCCACTTTATAAGGTACAACTGTATGTAATTTGATGCAACACTTCCACCTTAACATCTGTGTTTATGAAGTTCAAAATATTTCAGTTTTTGGTGAAATTGTCAAAAATATAAATTCAGTTATTTGTTTATAATATATATGTGTCATAGTTAGAGGTGGTGTTGTACTAGACTACTTGATAATAATCTTGCTAACCTTTACTGTATAATCTTGCTTTTAGGTCACCAGGACTGATCTATCATAAATCTGAGCAATATCACAGGTCACTAGGGATTTTACTTACTTTTGACATTTTCCTTTATTGTTTTATTTCATTATTTAGCCACTCAGCAGCTTGACAAATGAAGCTCATCCTACTCTTGCAGCATAAAACACTCAGCTAAACTCCAACAGTAAATCTTTCCTAATGTGAACTGAATTTAGCATCCTCACCAGATCTTCCCCTTGTCATCTCTGCCCTCATGTTGTCATTCTGCTCTTGCAGAGATTTGAGGTCGTTCTTCTGGCTAAGGAGGAAGTAGGCGACCATTGCCTGACCCACAATCAGGACGCAGGCGAGCAGGGTTAAACCTGCCACCTTATAGGCCCGGGTGTTGCGGCCACTGCAAAACAACGATAAAGGAGCAGGTGAGGGGGCATGTTTTTACTTATTGAGACTTTAATGTGAAATGGCCTTGTTGTATACAACAAGTATAATATGTATATTGCATATATGAAATCATCAGTCAACTGTTTAAGTATCAGTATGTTTCAATATGCTCAGGTATGTTTCTTGATGAATGATTTTCAGATCTAATAATAAAAAAAGGGAGAAAGACACTGGTAATGACTACACGCTCATGGGAATAAAACCCTTAAGATGGAGAGACAGATGAAGAGAAAAAGAGGTGGATGGGAGGGCGAGGAAGAGGAGGAGAATGCAAAATATGAGGATGATTCTAAAAGCCGGAAGCTCAGCCATGGATGAAGTGAATATATCACAATCAGCTGTTGCCAAGTAGAAACCTGAGAGACAGAGGAGGAATTTTTCATGTTTATTTTTTCCCCTTTTAATTTGCATCAAATCAGATTCTGTACACTTCATTGAATTTAACAGACCATTCCACTCTGAGATTACATTTTAATAAAAAAGTGACATAACTATTAATTACAATTTTTTGTTAGTATATTTTCCTTGAAATATGTACTTATGAAAATAAAAACAAACAAAAAACTTTTAGTAGAATTACAATTGTCCCTGTGTATTTTTACAAATGTTATTTCTTGACCTACATGTATGTATGTATACAGTACGTGCACTTTATATTACTGTACATGAACACAATGGTGTTTTTGATGCATTTCCTTTTCGCCCTGCTGTTGGTTTACATTCTTTCTCATACTAGCAGACTCTCAAAACCTGCTAGACTAGTAATCCATCACTTTTTTTATTAAAATTTTTTTTTTTTTTTTTTTAGTGCTTTATGATTTAAAAGGTCTGCACTATCTGTGGTTCAGTGGAATGGATTGAATATATGTGTGTGCGTCTGCTGATTGCTTTTGGTGGAGATAAATGGAAATCTGCCTGAAAGTAGAAAAAACATGAATCACCACACAATGATTTATAAAAGGGCTCCCTGTTAATTAAAGTATAATAGAAGTCTGAAATCAACCGGTTTACACATGAACAATCACCAATGGTCTCACCAGTGGGAAATTGAGCTCAGTCCAATTTAGGCAAAATTACATTTAAAGCTGAGGAAAAACGAAGCGCACTTTCTCTTTCTCTCTCTGACACTCAACAGATTCTCAACAACAGCCACCACAAACATCAGGGGACTCTTTAGGAATAACTCTTTGACTGGTTAATTTTGTGGAGACCAGCTTTTTGGTTCTGGCAACTTAATCAAGTCCCATGTTTACTGCTCAAGGCACAAAAACAAGCAGGCAACAACCCTTACCCCTGTGGTGGTGCTCCTACATTGATGCCTGTCTGCTGGCTGGGAGCTCCGATGAGGGGCTGGTATGAGGTCTCGGGGTCTGACATCTTCACACAAACCTGAAGACATAAACAATCACAACACTGGTTTTAAAAAGTGGGAATGTTAATATGCTGTCAGGAAATACATACACAGATTTAAATGCACATAAACGTATAGCTACTCACAGACAAAAGTAATTCCTTCTTTCAGGTCAGGTTAAATGCCGTTTCACAAATATCAGTGGCAGTTTAAGGACTTTTACCTTTATGGCTGCTGAGAGGAGAGCGAGAAGGAACTGAAAGCAGTGGGTTGGGAAAATTCCCCAGTCTCCGCTCGGCTGAATTTGTAAATTTGAAACTGAATTTCTGATTGGTCAGTCATGTTGCTGCATCATTTGCTACCAAGGGCAGAACATCAAACTGTTGCTTAACTAATGCTTGATTACGGACATTTTAGACAGTGTGAAGATAATGTCTGTAATAACATTACAAATAATAATAATAACATGAGTTAACAGCTAATAACATAATAATGTGGTTGCTGTTTGACAGTTTATTTGTATTGGCGTGTTAGTATTGTTATTGTTGTTGTTCTGTAGTATTTAGCTAGTACAAGGAACTTTATTACCCCTGTGCTTTGCATTCTAGGCCCTTGTTTGTCTGAGAAATAAATGATTAATGCTGTATTTTAAGGTTTTAAAGTCCTTAACTCTTGAACTTTACCTGATCATAGCTCCTATGAGTGAGATTTTAGGTCCAACCTTCTACAGCAGACCCCAGGAATTAAACATTGATAAAGTTGTTGTGGTATGTCATTATCATGTCTTTTCCGTCGATGAAGTGGTAAAAGGACAATACAGACGTTATTATGATAAACTTCATTAATAGCGTAAATACTACATACTGCTTTAGGGATTTCCTGTGATCATGTCTCCTCACCCCTCACTATGTATCTGTTCTAAATATCTAAATGTGGTTCTCTATAAATTATGTAAATTTAACCCAGGCTAGCTCATGCTATCTGACAGATTGACATATATAAAACAGTATAATAAAATCACAAAATTTTTGTGTGTGTGTGTGTGTGTGTGTGTGCGTACATGACTTTAACTTTAGAGGAAGTTACAACAAAGGGACTCATCACTAATTCTGACCTTTGAGTTGCAGTACCTGTTTACAAGAAGCGAGAGTGTAGCGTGAAAAACAGGGGAATGCAGTGAGATAATTTTAGTGATACTGTAAGTCAACAAAAAGTACCTTTTGATCAGAGTCAAATACAATGCCTTACATTGATATGGTTTGGCTAAAATTACAACAATGTTTTTAGACAATTTACATATGTAACAAACTGAAATTACCAGTGGATCCTGATTTTAAAATTTTCATTGGGATAGTCTGAAAAATGTAATTACTAAATCTTGCACCGCTGCTAGTCTTCTGCAATCCAATCCGATCCAACGAGAGGCTGTAAGGGGCCTGTTCAACCAGACGAGGGCGCTAATGCAACAAACCTAGATACAAAATACCGTAAAACCTACAGAGGAAGTAGTAGTAGAAGAAAAAGTATGACCTGTCATCGGTTCGACGTGTATTGTTGCAGGAAGTAGAGATTCAGCTTTGTTAACTGATTTCCGAAACAAAACTCACAAGAGAATTTGAACAAATAAGAGTATAACGGTGTAAGTAGTTAAGTGCGCCTAATACCGTACGGGAAAATACTGACACAGTTTTAATTATGCCCCGCTGTAGGGCTTTTAGTCACCGATTTATGCTAGCGGCAGCGTGAAGCGCCAAATTTAAAAGTACCAGCTAGCCTAACCTTATTGTAGCTAGCAGACATTTGTAAATTTGCAAATTACTGCTTCAGTAAATTGAATGTTGCTACTAAAGTTTGTATAGATTGAAATGTTCTTGCTCTCTGCTTATTCACATTTTTTGAGTGGCGACCTACAGCTACAGTAGGTGTTAGCTTAACCAGATAACGCTAACGTTAATCTGCAATATGACGATATATTACTATTAACACTATTGACATTAGTGGTTGAAGAAATAATATTCTGTTATTGTTGTGAAGAAAAAGTATAACTAGTGTTAAAGTAAGTAAACTATAGTTCTACACCTTTTCTAACAGATGATACGAAAACCACGAGCAACAACTGTCAAAGATGTAAAGTACATTGATATGGACTCGGACCTGTAAGGGATTTTAAAATTTTTTGTTAATATCTTTAATTTTCTCCACTCACAATTCGTTTTCTGTGACAACAGCATGTTTGTGTTCAGTGTAGGGGGTCTGTCTTCACTGGGTTAATGGGCGTGATAAACATAGACTGGGTCACAATGCTATTTTGATATTATTTGCTGAGTGTTACTTTGTTCCTACTTTACCATCAGATCATTTTCCCAGACGATGAGTAGTGATGAGGATAGTGAGGAATGGAGGCCACCAGAGCCAAAGACAAAAGCCCCCAAAAGACAAAAGGCTGCCAGAGCTCCTGCAGCAGGGAAAAAGAAGGCTGTTGTAAAGAGAACTACTAAAGCAAAGGAACCAGAAGCACCCAAAGAGCCTAAAGCTCCCAGACTGACTAGGGATGCTGAGCCAAAGACACCACCTGCTGTAGAGAGAAAAACCCAGGCCCCTAAAGGTCTCAAGGAGTCTGGTACATCTGGGTTGGCTAGAACAAAGAGAGAAAAAAGTGGCAAAAAAAACACTAGAAAAGACAAAGGAGAAGACCAAGCAGACTGTGCAGACCGAGAAAAGGATGAAGAGAGTGGACCAAGTACAAGAATGAAAGAGGAGGTAAGACGCACTCACTTTTGTAAGAGTTCATATATCTACAATCAAGCTAGCATGTCTGGGAGAATATATGGTTGGCATGTTGGAAGCAGTTATACCCACAGGTTTACGAAATTGTACACACATCTGTAGAGCTTCTGTTGAAGATCTAATGAAAAAAAAAATTTTTTTAGATGACATTCTTTTTGCAGGATTTTATGGAGGCAGCAATGCTCTCTTTTATGTATGAGTGATGTTCTTTTCTATCAAAGAACATATCTATATCATAACATTTTATTCTTTCCATTGTTTTCTGTTTTTCTTTTTTTTTTGTTTTTCTTGTAGAGGGTGTCATTTATTGTGTCAGACACCCATGAGGCCTTAGGTGGACTTGAAGCAAAAAAAGAGGAGGAGGAGGATTTCACATTTGATGAGCCTTGTCTAAAGAAACAGAAAACCAGTGCTTCCTGCCTGGGACGTCCAACTGCTTTACCATCATCGGAACCACAGGCTCTGAGGAATGAGCTCGATATGAACTGGGATTTAACAGAGGTATGTAGGGTTTGTGGGTATGTTTGATGTGTTGCAAAGTAGTTGTGTATATTTTTATTAGTTGGTGGAAGCATATGACAGTTCATGTTCATAGTTGACTGACTCATATGATACGATATGACTGTCTTGTCATATCACACAATACTGATGTCTGGACAGTGTAAAAGTAACACAACGGAGCATCCATGAAACTACCACCACCACGCGCTGACCATGCAGCAGCAATTAAGTGTTATCACATTCACATTTCAATTAAAAGTTAGTAAGACAACTTTAAGAGGATGCTAACCACACAGCAGTAATGCTAACAAGCTTTTGTTGGTGACCTTACCCTTTTTGTAAAAGTGTAACTACCTTAGCAAGTTGGGTTTTCATATGTACACTAAGATGCAAAGAATGTTAATAGATGGTGCAATATCTGTTAATAGGGTGAGTTGGACACGTATAAGTATGTGTGATGATTCTTACTTGATAACTTACTTATAGCTGAACTAAACTGTTAACAAACATTAAAATTGATCCACCAACAAACATGAAGGAGATGAAGAACTTGAGTTGTCATCGCACACTTACATCACTTTTTCCATCATCCAACATCATGCAGTACATTTTATGCCAGAGACTCAAAGAGAAAGGAAGTAGTTGTTATGCACAATCTAATGTCAGAAGATGCTTTGTATTGTATATGCACCTAAAGTTAGCTTTTTTTCTCTGTAGAAGACTTAAAAAATAGGATTTTATAAGGGGCAGTATGCTGCTGCCTGTTATTGTTTAACTGTCTATATGTGCTTCTCCTCAGGTGTTGTCTACACTGACATGTGTGGAGCGATGGGTGTGTGCAAATATCATTTTGCTGGTTCGCGAAGAGAACACAATACCATTCATAGTACGCTACCGCAAAGAAATGATTAACCACATGGATGCTGATGCCATTCGAGATGTCCAGATGGTATATGAGGAGTTATGGTAGGCAAAGGAAACATCTTGAATTTAACCAGAAAAGAAAATAAGTAGTACAACTTAAAGTTTCATGCATAGATTTTACTACAATGAAATGTTTTCTTTTTAAATATACTGTATATTAGCTGAGCTGACCTGTTTGACACTGACCACTAGATGGAGCTAGTGGTTAAGCCTTGTAGCATGACACAGACTCAGCTGTGTGTGACTCTTTTACATGTGTACATACTGTATGTTTCACTTGTGTGTGTTATAACTTGCACCTTTGTATAATGTTTTTTGTATATTTTGTGTATGTGCCTGTGTTGCTACAGCACTCTGGCTAAGAAGACTCAGTCTGTGATTCAGACCCTGAGGAAGGATGGGGTTTTGACAGCTGAGTTGGAACAAAACCTGAGGAGCTGTCGATCAGCTGATGAACTGGATCATGTGGTCAGAATCACATTTTTATACTAATTTGATACTTAGCATGTAAATATGATTTAAAGCTCTCGTTCTTCGTTGTAAGATTATTTATATACACTTTCCACCTGAATGTGTCTCCTACACCTCTCCTTACCAGTCATCACAGTCTGGTCTTTCTGTCTCTGTTTGTAGTATTCTCCTTATAAGAAAGGCAGTAAGCTGACAAAGGCTCGCAGGGCCAAAGCACTTGGCCTTGAGGTGCCTGCTTCAGCACTGATTGACACACCGCACACTCTGGATTTAAGGGCATGGGTTAAACCTGGTACTGATGGTAAGACACACACATACAGTGAGGAGTTATATAGACATTAAATAAAACTTGAAGTTGAACGTTTATGTATTGACAGGAAACATATGAATCCATTGACCTTTTGTGTCAGACACAGGTGCTTAAAATTAGTTATTCCAGCCATTCAGTATAAGCAGATTTTTAACAGTTTAAGTGGGTCACTGGGTAGGTACATTTTTAAAAAAAAGTTTTTATTCAAATGGTAAAGATACACTGACACATTTAAACTTGTATATAATCACTTGTGCAAAATATAAAATGTATTGTTTAACATACTGTATATCTACTCTTACAGATTTATAAGGCCATCAAAAGCTCACAAGAGAGGTGCTTTTAAGTACAGGATATATATGTTTGTGTGTGACAGGTCTGTCATCGGTGGAGGAAGTGGCTACTGGTGTGGAGCACATTTTGGCTGATATGATAGCCAAAGACCCTGAAACACTGACCTATGTGAAAACACTGTGAGAACATATGTTTCAAATTTGTTTTTGTGGTTTGTTTTCTATGTGATGATTTCGATTCACATACTGTATATGTATTATACTGTACATTTCCTCTGTCTGCTTTTCTGCTTGTGTGTACTATGATCAGAGTGTGTCTTGCTCAATACATTCCCTCAATGCTTATCTTTTGTTGTGTCAGGTGTGAGAACAGCTTTGTGACCATCCAGTCCTCTGTGTCGAAGTCGGCGCTGAAGGAAAAAGAGCAGGAAAAGTCTGTCCAAGGCCAGAAAAAAACAGGTGCCCAGCAAAACAAAAACAAGGACATTGACAAGTTCCATCTCTACTTTGACTTCACCTGCACCATTCAGCGCATCCAACCCCATCAGGTAGGCAGAGTTAGTATCTGTCCCAGTGCACATCCATCCATCCATTCACATGAAACAAAAAAAGTCTTTTACATAGGTATTGCTACTTTACTAGTTACTCAAAAATGATATTTTAAGAACACTTATAGCTGTCTCAGGCTTTTACACTTCCAGTGTGGGCTTGATGAATGATTCAACAGAGCTGTTATCATAGGTTGCATCAAATACAGTGCAAATGTACAGTACATCTACAGTTCACATTTAAAACAGAGCTCTCAAGCTATACATTTTCTAATGAAAAACATGTTATATACTGGGGACTTTTCAAGTGACAGTCTGCATAGTATTAAACACATTTACTCTGCTCTTTTCTGTTCTTTTATTTTGAAGGACTTACTGTGCCAGACTATTGTACAGTACTTGCCAACAGAAAATGGAAGCAAAGGCAATGAAAACCAATAGATAGTTATTGTTATTAAGTGTATTTCCAATCATATTTTGTTTTTGTTGTGGTTTATGTGTTTTGACTTGTCGAATGCAAACAACCGTGCAAACAACTACACACCATCTGTTTGTGTTGTCATTTTTGTCTGCTTCATGCATGCCTCTTCAGAATTCTAGCCATGTCATTCAGAGTTAGCCTTGCCTGTGCCTCAACATTTATCCCTCCTGTGCCCTGCTTTGCTGCCTCCTGCTCCCCCTCTGTCCCTCTAGTGACTGGTGGGTTACTCAGACTTGGTCCCGGGCCTCATGTGTCACCACAGCTTCCATCACCCGCTGCCTCTCTGCCACACCATACTCTCTGGCAACCTCACTCCGCCCTACAGTCATACACACATGCACATACACTTGCTCACACACAAGCAGACCCTGCAAGTCCCCTCATTCTCTTTGTAACATATGTGACGTGTCCCCTGCTGACATGCCATTGGATTAGGAGGCTTTGATTGACAGGCGCTCTACTATAGTGACAGGTCCTGCTGCTGTGCCCACGGGCGGATGGAAGGATGGGGTGAGGGAGCGGGGGCAGTAAAGAGAGGGAGAGAATAAACAAATGAGGGATGCTGGTGTGTTTGTCACTTAACTCTCTTTCTCTGCTCTGATCTGCCTTCCTGTTTTAAATCACAGCCCTCCAATCCACTCTGCACCTCCCCTTTTCCCCTCTCCTTTCCTGTGTATGCGAGGACTTTAATTCGATGACTCGCCTTTGTCAGGGAGCGTTAATCCACAGGCTGCTGTGACCCTTGTAGCTGTCGGATTCCGGCTAAAATGAACCTTTTCTAGCCATCAAGTTAGCGGTGAGGGGAGCAGGTAGTAGATGTGTTTTGACAGGAGGCATGTGTGTGAGCTACACACTTGCCTGTTTGCTTTAAAACATTTATTAAACCCAGCTCTGGTGGTTTTTTTTTTTTTAAAGGAAAAGGCCCATAATTATATGAAGGGAACAATAGAGAGATTTAGAATTGATTCATCTAAACAAGAAGTGGAAGGAAAATATTCAAGATCTCTTTAATATTGCACTTGCGTAATTATTTTTGTTAATTATTATTGTTTTGTTATATACAGTATTTTTGTTAACTGTTTTGTTTATATTGTGTTGTCATTATAGTGTTGTGTGCAGACACATTTCTCACATTTTTCCATGTGGCTTATATCGTTTTTAGGTATGACCAGCAATAGATCGTTTTTTTTGTTGTGAGACTTAAAATTATTTTTATGGATTTATGACTCATTTGGTTTTTAAATGCTTGTTCAACTTCACATTTGACGAGCAGAGAGCATGCTAGGTGAAGTGTCAGTCATATAAAGACTGCATGTTCTTCTGCATTGCAGACAATGATCTTAAAAAGATTGAATGAGACCGTAGGTTTAGCAAGGCAGTTTTGTTTTTACTAATTACATTTTAGTCATAGTCATTTTCCAGAGAGGTGTTGTTCTTCCTTCCTTGGAGAGCATGTTAACTTCAGCAGTTTGATGAAGATCATTTCACAAATCTCATCCCTGTCACTGCAGCAGCCCAGGGCAGAAACATGGCAACAAGAGAAAAACTTAACTTTCATCATAATTCAAGCAAGTTTGCTACGTAAAATTTTCCCTCTGTTCTGCCATTAGCTGCATTTTATTTTTTCCATTTGTGTGTGCATGTGTGTTGCATATGGCTGCAGCACGTCCAAGTGTGCTGCTCGGTGGTAATGGTTGTAGCACCACATGTGGGTGGGGGTAGGCCTTACGGTCTCAGTGCTTATGGCGGCGTAGCAGTGGCATTTGTCAGCTTGCTTCTTTCGCTTGGGCTCCAGATTGATGTCTTGTTTCTTGGCCCTGTTCTGTGGCAGGCTAAAGGGTCTTCGCTGAAAAGGTCAGACACTTGCTACTGTTTGCTTAACAGCATGTAACAATTCTCTGAGGGGGACCAGCACACAACACAATGGGCCGGCCAAAGTGCACACTCCTAGGCTCATCACTTTTCCACTTGTGTGTGGAAAGTTAAAAGATTTTGCCTCTGTGCTTGAGTGTAGAGGTCTGGGTGCCTAGAGTGAGCCTAACCCAAACTAAGGCCTATGTGTACAAATGATGATTTTGTATCAAATTAAAAATGATTGCTTCTTCCTCTGGTTCTTTGTGCATGCAGTTTGGTATATGAACAAGATCTTTGTCACTGTTTAAATTTAACTAGATTTTAGAAATGCAGACATTTCTAAAAGTGCTATTTGATGGCAGCAGCACTGTTAGAAATATGAGTGAGAATCTCCACAGAAATGTATCAGTAATGTTTAGCTGAAAAAAAGGTTTCTGGTTTCCAGCTGTTCACACAAATTGATCAAACCACAAATATAATCTTAGATATAAAAAAGACAAATAATTGTAGCATCCACAACTGGTATGTATGAATTTTGACTGTTGTGGTCTAAATATTTATACTTTTAGTGTGTGACCTGAGGTGGTGGTTGGTTTTTTTTTTAGATGGCAGTGGTTCTTTCCCCTCTGTGCTCATGTGCACCTGGGTCCACTGTTTGTGCAATTTATTGTATTGCATTAACCAGGGGAAATGTGTGTATGTGTGTGAGGACCTGGTTGCTTGTTTTCATGCATGCGTATGTGTATTTGTACAGACTCTGGCTATTAACCGAGGGGAGAATCTGAAGATTTTGACAGTGAAGGTGAATATTCCCGACAGGGTGAAGTGTGACTTCACTAGGTGGTGCATTACCAGCAGGTCAGAAACACAATAACACACACATACCCTTACACTCCCCAAGTAGCAGGCAGGCACACAATGAGCACATGTGGTTTATGTGGACAGGACTGGATTGACCACATCCATATTATACTACAATTACAGTCATTGTCTTTAACTTATGAAATTACTACAGTACACATGTACAGACATGTGCAGAGATCATTCGTTTTGGTCTGTGTCTGCCTGATTTGGATGAGACTGACAATGTGAACTGAATAGCAAAACAACTGCAGATGAATTGTTGATAAAATATTCCATTGAGTGATTATTTGATGTTAAAGGGATTTACAGTGAATGGACATGTGATTAGTGCAAAAGTACAAGTAGATTGCATTTATTTGCTTTAATTTTCTTTACTGTTTTAATGTAGATGGAGGCCGAAGACATATGCAACAGAAGAGCTCCGTGTAATTATCAGGAATGCAGTAGAGGACTCTTATAAAAGGCTTATTCTACCTTTCCTCGTTAGGAGTTACAGGTATTTTTAGTTTGTGTGTGCTTGCTGTCAGGGCTGTCAGTAACCACTTGCTCATTTACATTGTCTTCCTATTCCTTCTTGCCTTCTCCCTTTCTCTTTATCCTTCTTTATTTCTTTTTAACCATGCTCACCGTTTGCTCTCTTTTCTGACTCTTTTTCTTGATGTCACTCCTTTCCCCATCTTTCTGTCCCTGCCTCTTTCTCTCTCTCTTGTGTTCCCACTCTTAAGGACTAAGCTGACAAGTGTAGCAGAGAAAGAGTCAATTGCCATGTTTGTGCGGAACCTCCGGCAGCGCCTGTTGGTGTGTCCAGTCAGGGGCTGTGTCATCATGGGGGTGGACCCCGGCTTTAGACATGGCTGTAAGCTGGCAATCCTCTCTCCCACTAGTAAGTGAACTAGACTCAGGTGTATACTGCCAGAATCCACTCAAATTGGCACTTTTATGTTGTATCGCTGTATGTGTGAGTCATGGGCTATTAATGATATTATATACAATACTATAACACTGTAGAATATGTAGTATAACATTTTTCTACAATGAGTAGCCTACTTCTGTTTTCAATACTTAAAGTATATTTTCATGATACTTAAGATTTGTAATGCAGGACTTCTGTTAGCGTGATAGCAGTACTTTTACTTAAGTAAAGGATATGAATACTTCCTCTACTATTGATGCTAATATGCAAAATAACATGCTTTAGTTGTATGTTTTTTCTTGATTATGTTTATAATTCTGTTTAATCTTCAGGGTCAGTCCAGCTCAATCAACTGTCACAGTCACTTGCAATAAAAAAACACCCTTTATTTTCATTCCTTTGAGGGTCATTGTAGCTGATAATAGTACCTGTGTAATACCGTGATCTTTTCTAAGACAGTTATCATACCATGAAAATCTCATACCATTGCAACCCTAATATCAGGTGTCTTGCTGAACATTGTATGGTCACATATTTGATGGTTCCTAGCTCACATGATGTCTTGTCACACCTGTCCATTCAAATCTGCACTCTTCTCTGAGGAACTGGCAGGAACTGGACTCCTCTGGAGACTTGAGACAGTGCATATGTGGAGTTTCTAAATTTATTTAGATCATTTCTGCCTCATTAGACAGCATACAATGGAGGAACATAAGCTAATAGCATCTCTTTCTCTTTGTTTGTCTTCATCTCTGCTCTCAGGTCAGATTCTCCATACTGATATTGTATACCTGCATAATTCAGGCCAGCAGAAAGAAGCTGAAAAACTGCGCCACCTTATGATCACATATGGGTACTGCTGCATGTGTCTAAATGTCATTGTTTATACTGTTTGTTTTGCGTTCACTCAACATTATGGTGTAAACAAGGAAAGTGAATTGTGAACCTAACCAAAATTTAAATCTCATGGTTGCTTTCTGAATCATCATTGTGTTTCTCCTCTTATTCATACTAGTTGTACCAGGGTTGTCATTGGCAATGGGACAGCGTGTCGTGAGACTGAGTCCTTCTTCGCTGACCTCATCTCTCGGTGCTATTTTCACCCCCTGGATGTGTCCTACTGGTATGTCCTTTCACCCACTGCATGCTAGAACAGGTCCCTGATATTCCTGATTCTTATTGGCTTCAAATAATTTATAGATTATGTATTACTTGTTGATTTTAATCAATATACCACTGTACATTTTATATTTTTAAGTGGAATCAAGCTGCATTTTATATTTTCCACAGTTTGAGAAACTCCTGGAACACGTTCCAAAACTCAGCCTAAATAGTTAAAAGCTAGAATAAATGCTCAGTGAAATATTCTTGATTGTCACTGGTAAAGATTCAACACTAAGGTTTAGTCTGCAGTTGTAAAAAGATTCAGAGAGAGGTATTATAGGATGGGGGAAGACTGTGGGATGAAGGGGGGCTGTCTGTGAGATTGAGAAAAATGATTAAACTTTTTAGTCTTGGTATAGAAATGGGGAAGGTTCATTTTGTAGAGAACAGAGTGGGGAAGGAATGTCAAAGTAAAGGACAGAGGTGGGAACTGTGAGAGAGTAAGAGAGCTGGACACAGATGGAGACAGACAAATTGGAATGTGTTCCTCGAGCGAATACTGTCTATGAAGGACATCTGGACTTCATTTCATTTTGGTCCAATTAAAGAGACGTTTCGCGGTGCACGTCTGTGACCAGCCTCAGTCCACACTTCAAATTGCAACTGCCCAGAACCTGATTCCAAGCATAATAACCACTGGCCTCTCCGTGCTCCGTCTCTTTCTCTCTCTGCTGAGTTCCATGTGTGTTTGTTGACTTGAGGTTAGCGTTGGGACCAGAGCCTAGAATGATTCTGAGCGGCGCATGAATGAAAGTGTGGGTACAGTATGGGACTTTTGTCAGCTTCTTTGAGTTCATATGCATTTGCACACTTCAGAGGTCAAACCTTTGGTGTTAATAGCCCATGTTTTTATTTTAAAGCTCCATTTGCCGTCTGTTTGCAAGAACAGAAACAATCAAAATGAGGCGTTTATTAAGTTAACTTCCACTTGGTTATTTTCATGACAGACATTTTTTGAGCACCTCCAGAGCAGTAAAATTTCACATCTTGATATAATGTCTCGCTTGTTCATTCTTTTTCTGCAGCTATTGGCATTCATTCATTTCACAACACATAAGAATGTTGGACTTATATTTGATGTGGTGCTGGCTGAATGTCCTCAACTTTGGAAGAGCAGAGAGATGTTATTTTGACATTAGCCATAGAAATATGGTTGTTGTTATCCAGATGGTATCACTCCAGAGTTGTTTGGTCTTGTGCCTCAATTTGGCTTCACTGGACTGTGGCTGATGTAGACTCGGAGCCATAGCTGAATCTGTCTGTGTGTACAGTATGTTAAAATGCTTTTCTCTTCTCTGGCCCCCTTCTCTCTTCATCTTCATCTCAGTGTCCTGATGCTTATCTGCAACGCACTTCCTGTTCTCTTCCTCCCTCCTTGTCATTGTCTTTGTTTGAGCTTGATCAGTTAAATGTGCTTTTGAAATTCCCTGCAAAGTTCAAATGCTACTTTACTCTTTCTTCTGAAATCAGTTACTCCTCCAGATGTGTCTTTGAAGTATAAGGCCCTGGGTTATGGTACCACTTTGCACATCAGTATTGCACACACTATTGGACTTACGTGAAACCTGGGTGGGGTTAATCGCAAATTGCTCCACACAAATGAAATTTTAGCAGCCCTGCAGTGCCGTAGTCACTACAGCCGTCTGTGCTAAAAACACAAGTTTTAATATAGTTAATTGACCCAGTTTCTGATAAACTTTGCCCTTTCAGTGTGTGTGAATATTTGTTGCCTGATTTTGTATCCAAGCTGTGTGTGTGGCTTTTGATCAACAGATGTAGAAAATCTTTCATGCAGCTCATGCATAGGAAACTGGTTGTTGACTCCCCTTTCCATCTTCTCTTTACTTTTGTCTTCCTTCTTCTCCTCAGCTACTAAAAGCAGAAAAAAATGCATTTTAACTTAAAACAAAAAATGATAAAGAATAAAAGTGTGTATGTGTTAACGAGAGGCAGTGCAGTGTTATTTAAGTAGACTGAGGAGCACTCTTGCATTTATTAGGATTTTTAACATCATTACCTTGTTAGGTGGGACCAGCCAGTACAAATGTGAATTACTGGCATTTAAAGGTTTTATTTTGTACTGTTAGTGTATGACTATGCTTTGTCATATGTGTGAGTGTGTGTGTGTGTGTGTACACCTACATAAGCACATGTAGGTAGTTAAGACTGTCTTCTTTCACAGTGCAGCAGTTTATTAAAGACCTCAGTCTCTTTTGCACCGTCTGCTTCCTGTCTCCCTGTGAGCATTCATTGTGTCACCACCCCCACCCTTCTCCACCCTTTCTTTTGCACCAGCCTGTCTCTCTCACTCCGTCCTTCTGCTTCAGTGCTCAGCTGGAATGGCAGCCTGTGGGACACCCTTACTCGTATTTGGTCCGTGTGTGTGTTTGTGTGTGCATGCAGTTTTCAGTACCTTAGTCTATTTTGAGTAGACTCATCCTTCTCACAGAGTCACCTCTTCCATAATTTGTAAAGGAGTAAAGCCAAACAAGGGCAAGCATTTGTGTATTTTTGTTTGTATGTCTAAGTAGTGACATTTAGGTGAAAGAACAGACTGTGACTGAGTAGAAAAGATCGATCAGATTTGTCCAGCTGAATCATTTATTCAAATCGGCCTGCATAGATACAATATACAGTATGTTGAGGAAGGTTACTAAATTTCTGGTATTACTATTGTTGTTTTACTGTAATAAAACAGGCTAGATATTAAGGGCTGCAACATATGTTTTTGTAATCAGTGTGTCATTTTTGGTTTTGTTCTGTATTATTATTATTTTTTCCCCAATGTTAAGTCGACAAAATGTCAGAAAATAGTGAAGTATGCCAATAACTACTCAGGAGCCAAGGTGGCATTGTCACAGTGCTTGTTTTGTAGGTATTTCACAGGAAAAAAATCATTTACAAGCCTTACCTTCAGCTTTCGACTGCATCTCATGGATGGCATCCATTCCATTTGTTGATAAAGACCGTGCAATGATGTTGGAAGCTTCAGAAAAAACTAGTGAAAGACGGTTTTGTATTTCCAAGGTAATTTCTTCTTCTGACATGCTATACGTTTCACTGAGACGTAAATGGATGTATCACCAAACATTGCACGAAAGCACAGGTTTTGGATATAGTATGCCTTTACTATTAATTGTTATTATAGTAGAATTAAAATCCAGCTTTATTTAACCACATTTTGTTGGCAACAAGATGGCATAGAATATTCTACGGGGTCAGGGTGCTTATCAGTTTACTGTGTTATTTCAGACAAGTGTTTACCTTTAATAACAAGCACATGGCCTTTTAAGTAGTGTGGCAGCAACAGTGGATATGCACGGCCGTTTTAATCACCAGGTTCAAAGTGATCCATTGTGAATATTGCCTAGTATATGGGTGCTTGTCTTGGGTTTAAGTATTGATCATTACACAAGGGAGAGTGATTATGTTTACTTGTTTCATACATTTTTCAATTGACAAAATCTTTAATATTAGAGAGCTATTAGTACAAATGAAAAAAAAAAAAGAATATATATATGTAGCAGAAAATTTGAAGGCTGCTTAAACGAAAATACCATAATAGAAAGCAATGTAATCAAAATATTTTATTTTCAGACAATGTAGTTTACTTCTAATACAATATAATAAAATGGCATTACAAAGTAACCCCACACGATCAGGCCTGAACGATGTCTTTCTGAATGACCAGCATCCTGCAGGACAATATTCAGCATATGAGGTATTATATAGCTTGCAAGGTTTGTCTGTGCCCGTCGATTGACCCACTATGTGCACATTAAGTTATTTTCCAAACAGCTATGTCCCAATAATTTAAAGACTTCCTGCTTGGACATCATTTGGTGACATTAGTTTAGAAATAGACTCTATTTGTCTAAGTTAGTTAAATAATTTTCAAAGCTAGACCTATTTGTATATGGACGTGAGTATGTGTGTTAGGTATGTGCAGACACGTGTCTGTTCTGAATTCCCGGTTATTGTCATTAGCACCTGCCCATGCTTAGCACACTACCTTGTGTGTGTGTGTGTGTGTGTGTGTGTGTGTGTTTCTTTTGGCTCCTTGACAGGCCAGTGAAGCATGACCTTGTCTGTCATTGTATTTTAGTACAGGCTGGTAGAGCGTGCAGGGGTTGTCAGAGCTCATAAGAGTGCTCAGCACCAGCCAGACAGATGTCTTGTGGTTGTGTGTGTGTGTGTGTGTGTGTGTGTGTGGTTTGCACTGGAGGGTTTTGCATGGTGATGCACAGTGGTCTGTGTCACCCTTGTCAGCTGGTGATTTTTGTGAGCAGAGCTTATTGGTTGGGAAGGCACACACGCGTGCGGACATAACACAGTGAGTCCTTATCTATCAACACTTCAGATGCAGCTCATGTACTTTTGAGAAGATCTTACAAATTGTAGCAGCACACAGAGATCAACCTGTCATCAGCTCTCACTTCTTTACTGCCATCTTCATGAATCATCCAACAAATAACATTCCTGAAATGGGTTTGGTTCACATTAATCTGTGCTTAACAAACCCCCTTCTAAGCTATACAAGGCTGTTGAAAGCCTCTGTCAGCTATTGTGCTTTACTAAACAAACCTGCTCTTGTTGCTAAGTGTTTGCATATCCATCTGTTAGAGTGAAGGGTTAGAGTGCTTTTTGTAGTTGCAACATGAGTAATTAAGAGTGATTTACTGTATGTACAAAGCTTTGTGTGGATGAAGAATGACTAGCTAACAGGGTTAAGCTGTAACAGGCTGATGTTAATGATATCAGAGGATAAGAATATGTGGAATGAGGTAGAAGAGATCTCTGGGCAGTGGTGATGATACACATACAGGGACCACACAGCTAGAGGTAAATACAGCCAACATCCAATTTCTTTGACCACTTGCTTTGTCCCTCCTGAAGGTAATGAGATGATCGACCCTATTGCTCTTTTTTCATAAATACACAAACAAATGCTTGAAAGCCTCCAGGTCAGCAGTGTTCTATTTGTCTGGAATGAATCACAATGTATTGATGTATTTGATCAAGTTTGAATGTAGGCACATATCCAGTGGTGTATGTATATACTGACACACAGACATGCTTACAATATAGCAAGTCCTTGAACATCTTGCCCACTAGCTCACTCCTGTTTGGATGAGATCATTATTACTTGCTAGCTGATGGACCTGGAGGACAGTGGTGAAGACTGTATTTACTGTATGACTGTGCGTGGGTGCGGGTGTGTGTGTATCCCCTGTCATGTCCTGTTTATAGGCTTGCTCCCAGGGCCAGGCTGAGTAAGTGGCAGGACCATCGATGACTGAGTGAGAGCCAGGCACTCAGGCCTCACCGACGGTTTGAAGGTTGCAGAGATAATATGTATAAACATTTAGGAAAAGAGAGTTATAATAGTACTGCAAAAATGCAGACCCTTCAAAAATATAAAAATGAAATTGTTTTCTTAATCTTAATCTTGGATTTTGCGCGTTTTCTTTCTCCTTACTTTTTAACTTCACTCCTGTTTTCCATATTTTCTCCCTTCTGAGATTCCAGGAGCTATTGCTTATTTTATCCCTAGTATAACAAGCTTGTAGACAGACAAGTTAATTTTATTTATATAGCACAATATCACAAATCACAAATTTGCCTAATGGAGCTTTGCGATTTGTACAGAGTACAACACCCTTTATCATTACACCTTCAATTTGTCGTGCAGTATTACACCTCTATTTTACAGCAGATGGTACCACTGCAAAGCTGTTTCTTGGAGGTGTATTTGTGTTTGTGTAGCTCATCATGGGTAGAAAACCTCTGGCGTTCGCAGGTGGTGGACAGTGAATATCTGCCAGCCTCGCCCATATCACCCACAGCCCCCTCCCACCGTGCTTCACTGGTGGTCAGCCTCTGTCCCTCTTCTTCCCCTTGTTCCACCTGCCCTCCCTGCCATCCTCCCCTAGGGTTCCACTCTTCCCTGTGATGGTTCTCTGTGTGACAAACATGTGATGAGTCTGTGTGACGTGCCATGTGTGTATTTGTGAGTTGGTGTGTGTGAGCGCTTATGCTGGTGTGTATGCGTTTATGTGTGACACAAGTGTAGGCCTTTTCTGCTGCCAGATTGGCACGAGTGTCTGTGAGGCTTTGCTCTTTTCAGACGTGCCTCACACTGGCAGTTAGTTTGTGTGTCTGTGTGTGCCTGCCTGCCTTCTAGCGCCTCACTAGAGACTGACGGTTCCTGACACCTGCCATTTGAACGCTTTTCTCTGTGAAAAATGTTGTCAGCTTCAGAACGACGTGTGTGCGCGTATGTCTGTGTGAGAGAGAGATTCTGCGTCCCTCAGTTTTGCTCCCTGAGGTCAAGCTTTGCAGCTGACTGAACAATGGATCCAAGCTGTTTGAGCAGGCGGGACAGAGAAACATGTGTGTGCTTTTTATATGAACGTATGTTTGGCTGGTAATTTCTAAGGTATTAAAATTAGGCTGGTTCAAGTATCTTGAAGACAAACTGAGTTGTGGACCAAAAAACAGCAGACTGAGCCATTAAAATATGACACTATGTAGGTGTTAGTCTTGAAAGGCATTGAGAAGCTCTTAATCATATCTCTCTGTCTGTCTCTCTCTTTATCTGTCTGTTCCTTTATCTATCTTATCTATCTATCTAGAGAGTATATTTTATGGTTTAGGCTTTGGATCCTTCAGAGAATCTATTGGGCTGCAAATTCACATATTGTTTTTTGTCCATGGGCCCAGAATATTGTGAAATGCAGCAGTTTCTTAAAACCAAACCTCAATCATGTATTCTTTTTTGACATGCAGTGCTGTTACAGTTTGGAGGTTTGCACCTGGCAAGCCTAGTTTTTTTTTTTTGTTGTTTTGTTATATATATAT